TATTAATCATATAATATTAAAAATATAATCATACACCAGAATACTTTGAATAAAATTATAAAAGGTACACTATTTCTTCGATTCATTATCTTAAAATGGATAGGCTAGGACTTAGATGCGTTGATGAATATTTAATCCTGGAATATTTCCTAAATGTATTTCATGATTGACAGATCAGAACAAAATATATTGAATTATTCAGAGAGTTTGTAGAATTTTTTGATGACAGAATTGAAAACAATTTTTATATGTTTATATATCTTTATTTAATAATGTATGCACAAGTTGTTAAAGATGGCCAAAAGTTGTCGAAAACAATGGTGCATATATTACTGAACAAAGATGACTCTAAACATATAAAAATAGTTTTCAATTTTATTATAAAAATTATTACAAATTTTTTAAATAACCTAATATATTTTTATTCTGAATAATGTACTTTTTATATATTTATATATGTTTATATATTTATTTATATTTTTTTTATATAAGAAAAAATAGAAGAAAAAAATATATTTAAAAAAAAAGATTATACATAAAATAAAAGATAAAACTTGTTAATACATAGAAAAAAAGTATTTGCTGCCGCAGTAAATTTTATATAAGCTATCATAGCAAAATTTCTTACAGTTGATTATTATTTGAACAGCAAAGAGATTTGTTATAGATAATAATTTTATTTACCGAAATTAGTTTTTAAATCTGCACACACACAAATTATATTGCTAATATATAATAAGAAATTTATTTTTATCTTATTATCAAAGTTTGTATTAATGGCGACAATTCATTGCAATAGTAAAATAAATTTATTAAAAATTAATTATTTTGTTGTAACAGCGAATTTTAACTTGTTTTCTCATCTCAAAATTTGTCGATTTTTTGAACAAACCAGATTTGTTGCATATTGAATAATCTGTAAAAGTAGTTACAATAGCGAAATTTTATCGCTAACATATTTAACATGCAATAGCAACATTTTATTGCGATAGCAAAATTCCTTTTCTGTGTGTAAATGTGTACTTTCATTTCTTCCTTTCTTACGGTAAGTGATTTATCTTTTTGTATCTTTCCAGGATTAAATATTATAAATTGTCGTTGAAGAGCAAAAGTAAGAAAATTTTTAATTACATATGTACCACAAATGTATCACAAATTTAAATTAAAAATGAAAAAGAAAACTTTCTTACACAAACGTAAATATATTAGTGAATTATGGTATATTTGAAATAATTTATCTAATAAAAAAAGAGTGCATTTTTTATCAACAATTTATTTACAATTTTGAAATATATATTTATTCTTGCTATACGTCAATTTCTTCGCAATCTTTCCTAGCCTACCCATGCATCCGTGGTCCTATGGCTTAATACTAAAACTACCAAAACGGTCAAAATAACCGGTTTATTCTTTTTAGAATAATTATTTAAATTTATAATGTATTTGTTGAGATTTTTTTCTGTGACTTGTTGCATTGTGTTAAATAATTTTAATTGATTAATGTACTTTTTCTCTTTATCACTTTTTATAAAAAAAGAAAAAAGAAATAGAAGTTGGTATATGTTAATCGTTGGTAGTTCCAGTGTTGATCCCATGGTTGAGCATGGATTTTCGAAATTCGTGGTCCCATTGATGATGGTTGAGCACGGATCTCGAAACATTGATATGATCGAACATTGAACAATGGTCGACTATCAATACAAATTTCGGACGCAACTAGCGGAAACTGAGCCGAGCTCTGCGCTAGCGTCCTGCGAGAAACATCGAGACAATCGCTCTCGGATTTTCGATGCAAATAGCGGTAACTGAACCGAGCTCTGCGCTAAAGCATCCTGCGGAAAACTCCTTCCCGAAATTCAGATGCAAATGACGGTAACTGAGCCGAGCTCTGCGCTAAAGTATCCTGCGAAAAACTCCCTTCCGAATTTCAAATGCAAATGGCGGTAACTGAGCCGAGCTCTGCGCTAAGCATCTCGCGAAAAAAGTTCCCAAACGATTCCGCGAAAAACTTCCAAACGATTCCGTGATTCAATCTCATTAAACCTTATTCATTTAAGATTTTTTGTACGAACTCTTAGGTATAGAATTTCTAACTAGGTAGGATTTCTACTAGATAAAGTTTTTGGGTAGGTAGATAGGATTTTAAAACTTTTTATCACTTCTATATTGTATTTTTTTTTAATTTTTGCTATCGATAAACTTTGGAACTTCTGCTTTGGCAGTTAGTTTGTAGTTTATTGATGACAAAAGTAATGATAAAACTTCGGGTGGGCAAACAGCAAGATTCTCTTTCAAAAAACGGAAGATGTTTCTTGCGTAAATTATGAAAAAGTTTGAACATTTAGACGTTTAAATGTTTAGATTAATAAATTTCACTAATAAAATATTACTACTTTTTAATTATAAGAGATACTTTCGATTATAAATGAAAAATTGTATTGTTCAGCTCTTTTTAACTAAAGTATTTTGCATTATACATAAAACTTTTGAACGTTTAAATGATTTTATTGACATATTATTTTCATTTTGTATTATCTTGTATATTATTTCGATGGAATACAGGATAATATATTAAGAAAAATTGTAATAAGCTAAATGTCCCAATGGCTGTGGATATGTCTCAATCTCCGAAAATATATGAACAAAATAATTTTTAATATTCATAAATATAATGTCCGGAAACTGTGGTAAATTTACATATCCAATTATTTTTGCAAATATTTAATATCGTCGTTTAATAAATGCAAATTTTGGTTTTAAATTTCCGCGAAGTAAATTTTAATCTTTATTATATAATATTAAAAATATTATTTTTATAGAAAACATCACATCTTTAATAATTAATTCTTAAATATATTGCCACTGGAACATTTCTCTTAAATATTGTAAACTTGTAAAAATCTTTTTCTTATTTGTACAAAATATTGTATTAATATATTGTATATTATATATTATATTATATAATTGTATATTATATTACATATATATGTATGTATATCACATTATTGCATCTGTATGCAGCATTGTTGTATATATTTCTTCTTCATTGTATATGTTTTCTGAATTTAATATTATTTATTGTTTAGGGGAAGGTGGGGTAAGACGGAAATGGCCATATTTTTTATATTAAAATGGCCATATTTTTTATATTAATGACAAAAAATAACTGAAATTTAGTATGAAGAAACTGTAGAATGTTTATTATAAGATCATAATGTTAAAGTTTTAAAACTTGCAAAAGTTTGAATTATTATTAAGATTTAAAAAAACTTAATTTTGGTCCGTTTTATCCCATAGGTGGGGTAAAATGGACCATTCCATGGGGTAAAATGGACCAAGCCGAGATAATATGGACCAAGAAATAATTTAACAGATCAATTCAAAATCAAAACTATATATTATTTATTAAATATTTTTGAATAAGAATAGAAATTAATTTAACATTAATCATTTTATTATACACACAAATCTTTAAAATAATTATAATCTTTATAATTTTTAACTTTTAAATTAAATATAACATTTTAAAATAAAGCATGTAAATAAAATAAATAATTATTACAAAATCTGTTTTTAATTAGACACATTATTTTCAATAAATTTCAAGTTTCTTCTACTTTTAATAGTGCGTTTTTTATTTTTTATAGCTTTTTCCAGTTGAAGTTTGTAAGGAGAATCGGTAATTATTGCTGTTTTTTCATGTTTACTTGTTTTGTTCTTATTATTAACATGAGGAATAGGTTGTAATTTCTCAAGAGAGATTGTAAAAGAGGAAGTTGATGAGTCTTGAGATGTTGCAGAAGATAAGACAGAACATTGAGAGATGATAGTGAGGAGAAAAGCAAATAATAATAACACCATTATCTCGGGCTTTGTAGATCAATTCGATGTTTTTCATATGAGTTGCATGACCATCAAGCAATAAGAGAACTGGGTTGTCTTTTGAGCCATTTGTAAACTAAATAAAATGCTCAAACCATTTTTAAAAAATGTCGGTTTGCATCCAACCCGACTTATCAGTTTCAGCCCAAGCCCCTGGGAAAGCACTGTTATTCATCAAAAGAGGGTTCATTCTTACTCGGGGAAAAATAAACATAGGTGGCATATAGCTACCAGAAGCCAAAAAACATATTTCTACAGTCACGGTTTGACCTCTTTCTGCAGAAGAAAGTATGCCAACTTGCTTACGACCTTTTTGAGCAAGAATTTTAGATACAGACTTGGATACTGTAGAAATACCGGTTTTGTCACAATTAAAAATGCGGTTTGAAGAAAATTTATATTTGTTCAAAACATTACCCAATAGTTTATAAAACGTGTTAACGACAACTTTGTTAAAACCCATGGCACGAGCTGCGCTTATAGCTTCCGGGTTCCTGATAGAAATTTGAGAATTGCGTTTTAAAAATCCTGCAAACCAGTTTTTTCCAGCAAGTTTCGTTTCTTCAGAAAAATAATGTTTTATAGAATTTTTTCTGCTAATTCATAGGCCAGTTTTCGTACATCATAAGTGGTTAAACCAAAAAATCTTTTCCATATCTAAAACGTAATTTGGTAATTCTTTTTCTAGCTTATTTGAAAAAAGGCTTTCTACTGTCTAATTTTTGTGTAAGATTTAGTTTTGATTGAGTTTTCAAAGCTTTAAATCTGCGATAAAGGGTTGTAACTGGAACAGAGAATCTTCTTGCAGCTTCTCATTTACCAATGTTTTCTTCTAACATGGCTTTTAAGGCTTTGTATAAATTTTCCTCATTCCATTTACATCAATTCGATTTTCTTTTATAATTTCTAGGCATCTTTAGCAACTAGAAAAATGGTTAAAAAACAAAAAATTGTTAAAAAAGAAAATGAGATGTAAAATATTTTTCAAATCAAAGCAAATATATAAGCAGAAAACTATAAGTAGAAAGTATAAGTAGAAAATATAAGTAAAACAAATATATAAATTGGTCCGTTTTACCCCATGTAAATTGGTCCATTTTATCCCACATAACAACATTAATATTATCTTATTTTTATTTACCTGTATCAAAATTATTTTTAAATATAACTGATGAAATATTACTTCCAAATAACCAGAAATATGGAACTTGTAAAAAAATTTTTAAATATTAAGTTTTGCAATATTAGTCACTTAAAATGTAATACTAAGAAACTAGATCACGAAATCTATTTGCAAGAATTTGACGTTTCTTAAATAACTCACGATAGTCTTATGATATAATGACGTAATTTTTAAACAGTTGAAAAGCATCAAAAAGGAAATTAATTTTATGTTTATCCAGCAGATAGAGGTACTTACTAATAAGATCTAGCAAATGGACCATTTTACCCCGCGGTCCGTCTTACCCCACCTTCCTTTACTATTATTATATTGTATTTGGTTTTATTAAAATCTTTTCTCGACAAACAATGTATTTTATTTCACAACATTCTTTAAATCCTCTTTCTATTGAAAGAAAGAAAATGATTGTACCAGAGAGAAATCTGAGAAAGGCCACGCTGCCATTTTTCGTAAGACGCTTTTTTTAGGCCGTATACTAGTGGCGCGTACATCCATTTCACAGCCTGCCTGGAACTACATGATCATATCAATTTTCCAGGATGGCAAAAGAGCCCTGGTTGGTTCATGTCCGTATTACATCCATTTTCCGGGATGGTAAGAGTCATGGTTGATTCATGTCCGTGTTACATCCACAATTTATTGAACAGAAATACGTCTCGCATATAGATATAATTTATATAGATACAATTTATACCATATAGATAATTTATATCTATATGCGGGACGTATTTCTATTCAATAAAATTGTAAATATAACACGGACATGAACCAACCAGGGTTCTTTTACCATCCCGGAAAATGGATGTGGCCATGTAGTTCCAGGCAGGCTGTAAAATGGATGTACGCGCCGCTAGTGTACGGCCTAGAAATAGCGTCTTACGAAAAACGGCAGCGTGGCCCCTCTCAGGTTTCTCTCTGGTTATAGTTACTTCTAGGGTCTCTAGTGTAAAATGATTAGAGGCGGTTCATAACGGAATCTACTGGAACTAAAAAAAACTTGTGGCTTGACGTTGAGTTGTACTACTGAAAAGAAATTATCCAACTTATCGTTGACTTCTACTAGTTGTCACGTCATAATACAATAAGAAATAACAGTAGCAAACCTTTGAATGTCGAACAGTATTAAATTTATATTAACAGTGAAGAAATAGTGCAAGTGCGTTAGATGTTAATTGTTAGTTTCTCTCAACTGCTCAACTGCAAGTGCGATGTTAATTGTTAATTTTTGAGTGAGAAAATATTTTAAATAATTATGTCTAATAATAATATCACTTTGCCGAAAGCTCCGAAGGAATTATGTTTCTCCGAGCTTGATTTTGTACAGGTTTGATTTAATCATTACTATATTTTGTAGAAGCAATTTTGCATTTAACTAATTTTTTGGTCTATGCCTTGTTGCAGGAAAATTTTGACGTTGACACTTTTCTACAAGATCACAGGAAAAATGGCAAACTGGAGACGATGCGAGATGATCTTGGCATGTACTTAAAATTATTGAGATCTGCCATGATAGATTTAATTAACAGGGATTATGCAGATTTTGTTAATCTGTCTAGCAATTTAATTGGACTGGATAAAGCCATCAATGATTTGCAAGCACCACTTGGACAGTTGAGAGAGGAAGTTTTGGTATGTAACTGTAATATTAGATTATGATGTATCATAACTTATTTTAATAACAGTTTTATTTTAATTACAGCAAGTACGCCAAGCCTTGGATGACGAGATCACAGCTATTTCAACTAATTTAGATGAAAATCTGAAGATAAGGGAACGTAAACAAAGTTTATATAGTTTGCAGCATGCATACAAGTCATTGAAGAAACTTTCATCTATATTGTCTATGGAAACATTTATGGAAAATCCTACTAAAATCGATGTTTTGGAACAGGCTGCAATTGAACTAAACCAATTAAAATTTCATATATCTAGATGTAAAGTAGATATGTCGACTGATCAAGAGAAGGTATGTGTGTCTTTTAAAGACAAAAAAAGATATATAATAGCTACATAATTATGCTAAAACAATTATCTTCTAACAGGAAAGTTCAAAATTAGAAAGTTTGTATCTTACTTTTCTGAATGAATTATTCTTAGCATGTATACATGAAAAAAATTCAAACTTGATGGTCCGTTGTCTCAGAATTTACCTTACACTTGACAAAATAACAATCGCAGAAGAACAAGTAAAACATGAAGTTTTAAGGCCATTAATTTACAATATAGTTAATGAGGAGAATCTGCAGACTGATCCGCTCGGTCTACAAAGTATCTATCATAAATTATTGAACATTCTAAATGTGGAATTAAAGCAGTTATTGGATATCACATTGTATCCTGACAGGTATTTACATTACACTTATATTTGATTAAGAACATCATTAATCTATTAACAAACGCATGATTTATACATATATTGATGTTACAGGATATCTGTGAAAGGATTTAATTTTCTAGTAAACAGCTTTTGGATTGAAGTTGAGGAAAAGATCGAGCAATATATAAAATCCATATTTGCTCCAGGAGATCCGGTGCTATTTCATAAAGTAAGTCAAACATTTGAAAATTTGTACATGATAAATGCTTAAAAAATAAAAAAAATATATATATATTTAAAATATTGTTTCAGAGGTACACAGCTACATTGGAATTCTTAATAAAGTTGGAAGCAGAATGTGTTACACCTGAAACTTTAGCAGCCCTGAGAAATCACCCACAGTACAAAAGTTTTCTTAAAAAATGGAATCTACCAGTATACTTTCAAATTCGATTTCAAGAGATAGCTGGAAACGTTGAGACAATATTAGCTGAACCAGTATCACCAGACTCTGTCAAAGGCAGTCTGACTTCACTGACACAAAAAGATTTTTCTCTTCACGCGACTTGCATAGTTTGGGACAATCTGTTAAGGATTTGGGCTGACGATATCTATTTGTATCAATTATTCCACAAGTGAGTAATTATTTTGTAATTTTATTTGTAACAGCGCTGTTATTTTTATTCCAATTCTATTGTCTTATGAAATTAATACATTATCAATAATATTATTACCAGATTCTGGAAACTCAGTCTTCAAATATGCTCGAGATATCAAACTTGGTGCCAGAATACAATGAAACAAGTATGTCTTAAAATTTATTCTATCTTACTGACATTTGAACATGGTATGGCATTTATACGCATACCGTGAATTAGACAGATTTTCTACGGACAATAATCAGCTTTATATTTTTTAGGTATGGCCTGTAATAAATGAAACTAACAGTTCTAGTAATTCAGAGCATTCTACAAGATTAAATTTCCTAGTATATTTGTATACCGATGTGGAAAAACTAATAAATGCGTTACCATCTTTTCTACAAATGGTGCAATTAAAAATTAAAGATGAGAATGTTATTATATCAAAATTATTAAAAGGTAATACATGCAAATTAAAAAGAATATATTATCGTAAAGTCACAATAACTCGCATTAATTCATTACAGAGTCTCTGGATGAAACTTCTAAGAATTTAGCGAATCTTTTACCCTCAGTTACAAAAGAGATCGTGAATGAGCTGTCGGAGCAATGTGTAACATATTTGAAACAAGTTAGCGACATTCCCAGATTGTTTAGAAGGACAAAGCGAGACGTGCCAACTAAACCTTGCCCTTACATAAAAAGTGCAATGGTACCTCTTACTAATTTTTACACAGATTACAACAAAATCATTCCTGAAACCGTGATTCCCTGGTTGGAATTAACATTGTCTTCGCTAACGCAAAAGTAATGCTAAATCAATTTTCTCAACTTAAACAGAAAATTGAAAATATAAATTCATATATATACAATGGAAATATTTATTATTTCAGTTACTTACTATTTGTTACGGATGTGTTGACGTCCGTGCAAAAGACTGAAGAGAGCTTAAGAAGGTTGAAAAAGATTCGCGACAAATCCACTGGAATTCTTCCTTCAGAACCGCAGGGCACTAGCGACGACGAAAAGATACGTATTCAGCTTAAAGTGGATGTGGACGGTTATGTAAATATGGTACGGAGATTATAAATATGTTACACGTGTTTATAAAATGTCTTCACATATCTAATTACTAATATCTTGCAGATCAAAGAGTTTAATATTACAACCACAGACATACATCATCTACAGGAATTGATAGATGCTGTAGAAGCAGCTGTTAAGAAATGAAATTCAATTACTCATGATTTTTAATTGTATCATAAAATGTGATTCACAGTAACTAAAAAAATACCACTTTGTCAATTATATTATAGTACGTCATGTTTCACATCATGATAGATAGTGAAAACACTTTGAGAATAGAATGTATATCTGCAATTTAAACTGTTATAATGAAATTAATATATTCAAAGTTGAATATTTATTATTTATAGCTATAAGTATGTGTAAGACAATTTTATTTTGTTGTACATATTTTTTCTATACATATGATGTACATAAGCGTCTTTATGTAATTCTTATATCGTCTCTGTTATTTGTACATATTTTCTTATATTGCGTTATGACAACGAAATCGTTCGTAATTAACTTCAAGAGAAAAAGAGTATTAATTTGAACGACTGCACGATTTTGCATTTCGGAGTCCATCAATTTTTCGATGGAGCTGAGATAAAAAATTTGTGTGGAATCTGCAGCGAACTATGTGTTATGGCAGTTGAAAATATGGAGTAAAAAACGCACACTGTATCAATCGGTAATATTGTTAATGATCCTAATAACACAGCATTAATTGGTGTGAATAGAGAAATTATTGACGATTCAAGAGGCCGCATAGTGATTAACATCGATTGACAGTATTGCCAACCCGCAAGGATGACTGAACAGTCATTTGAGCTTGGCATACATACACACAACATTTAAATTCACATTTACACATACGCAATGATTAAGAATTTTAAAAGAGAAATAGTTAAAAAATGTGAATTAGATATTCGGATAACGTGCGTCAAGTGATGATGTGAGCATTGGCCAAACAGCACAATTCCTCACGACCTTTTATATTTTAAAGGAAAAAGAAGGGAAAAAGAAAGAAAGAAAAAAGATATGGCTTATATTTGCTGTGAATATATTTGCTTTATAAAATTTAAAGATTTCTCTATTTTTCCATACACAAAATATAAGAACAATCTGTAAAATAAACCCTATTCCCACGAGTCACTTTGCGGCAATTCAATTGTGTAATTCACGTCCTGATGAGGATAAGCGGGATCCCACCAATCTAAGATACAGTATCCGGTCACATCGCGAAGTATTACTTGATTTGTTAATGTACTAGGAATATCTGAAGTTCCGAATCCAAACTGAAGCCGATGCTCTCTAAAGCCGGGCATTAAGTTCATCGATACTGTTTGCAAGACCAATCCGATGACCGGCGGTAACATACTATATTTCAAGCAAGTCACCTATAAATCATTAAATATATTATTACGAAATGTTTGGTTTCTCCAAAAATTTATAATACGAACAAATTTTATAATATTACGCACCCTGAGCACTTTGCAACCCTCTTCAGGATTAACAGCTACATCTGCCAGCGTATCAAAAAATTCGTTTTTCGTATCACGTTTATTTTGTTTCAACGAGCTATTACGAATTTTGGGAATCTCCTTTAGTTTAAAGTAAAAATACCACCGAACTTTTCCTTCCTGAAATATATTACATTATTAATTATTATGCAGCATAAAATGAAAAATGGTAAATCTAAGTACATAATTACACAATCTAAGTACATAATTGCTTAAAATGTCTTGTAATGTGAACTTGGAACTTAAATATGAACAAAAAATTATGCATAATTTACTTTATGCCACATGAGAGTGCATCTTCTTTTCACAAGAGAATGCGGATCTTCTTGTCGCAGATAAGACATATCATCTAACTCTCGTTGCAACAGTGAAGTAAAATAATTGTAGTGTAATGCTCTGATAACGCAAGCTCTTAAACCATACAGTCTCATACACTGCGGCTGCAGACGTTCAGGTAAATTTGATACAAACTTATAGTATCTAAAATAACAGTGCAATTATCATTACATGAACATATTACATCACATAAAATATTAGAAGTATAATAAAGCATTATACATATATAAGAACTATTAATATATTTAAAAAGCATCAGAAGCATACATGTAAATTGAATAATATAAACTTTAAAGCTGAATCTATCGCAAGTAATCATACGACGTACATGAAACATATGACGTTACATGAAACTTACGATTTGTACAAATGAAACCAGAATTTTCCAGTAGTAGTTACATAATAAGAACCTCTGCAAATTCTTGCAAACTTCCCTACTGCTTCAGGTTGTATATATTCCGAAATGATAAACCATATATCCAACGGATACTCAATCCCTACTCAACAAACACGTTTTTGATGCAGAATTTATATCCCTCATTATATAAAAAATAAATCATAATAAATCATAATAAATCACATTGCATTATATACTTGATGTGATATTACTTTATTAATATTTTATATCTTTATAGTAATTAGCAATTTCTTTTGCAATATTGTAGTATATTTCAATTACCTTCCTCTTTATTATTATCCTCATGAAATTTCAACTTTCGTCTATGCCTTCTTCCATTAGTAGCAGAACTTCTCTGATCATTCTCTCTTATATTATCTTGTAACAAATCCTCTTCATCTCTTTCATCCAACACAATTTTATTTTCTATCATTGCTTCTTGTTTCACTAAACAAAATTTAGATAACAAGATTAAAATAATATATATAATGTGTTGATAAAAATATAGAAAAATGCAAATATTATATATATTTCCAAGCAAATAAAATGTTTTATATTTGTATTTTTTTAATTGAGATTTATAAGATAGAAAATAAATTATTTGTGAATGATTTTCGAACCTTCATTGGAGACGTTTGTAGCTGATTTCTTCAGCCTTGCATGAATTCGTAAAGTGTTAGCAAAGTCATCAATAGTCACATCTGGTTGAATATTAAGATGACAATTTACAATACATTTGTTTACAGGTACACAATGTAAAATTCAGCCAGTATATGAAAACAAGAATATTCTATAAACATATTTTCACAAAGCATTTTCTTCTTAAGGTTATTTATTTTAAATAGATTAATCTGATAGCTAGACTGCAAAAGTTTTGAAAGAAAATACATGTATCATATCTCAGATGGAAAATCTTGAGAATAAAAATAAAAAATGAGTCATTTTTTATAAAATAAAAAGATACGATTTTGCTGTTCTAAATTCAAAGGTTATTAATACTTATGTTAATCCTATCTAGGAATTGATTGAATGTATGCTATATTTATACGTGCATACAATTATGTGCAATGATTTGTAAAAAATACTTGTTCTCCTACATTGAGCTAATTTCGCACTGTGCTGCAATAAGTAGATTTGAAAACGAGTATGACAGGGTCAATTAACCTCCTACAAGGCCATCATTTTTCTTAGCCGTTGTCGACTTTTTGCTTGTCTTCTTCCGCTGAGTGGACATCGTGCATTGGTGTGTTTTAACATACGGTGATTAAGCGTGTTAATTAATCAGGTACGCATTGCGAGGAAATGGAAAATCTACGATATATACAGATATATACACTAGTAACACTGACGAATAATAATAGGCTCCCATGCTCATCACACTGATCACACGATTCGCATCGCGGATCTCCACGCTCGCACGTTCGCTCTGCGATTCTCATAGCCGTCGTCGGCAAACGCCTTCAAAAGGAAGAAGGCATCGCGACGAAATATCAGATCACATCACGGCCGTCAAGATAAATAAATCATGGCGAACTTCTAATCACTATGTTCAAAGGTGTGCAATGATGGAACGGATGGAACAGAAGACTACATATACACAGTGACGCCAGATTTGAGACGCAAACAGCAAGCAGCAGTGAAAGAGGGGAATACCGCACACGTGCACATGTATTTTGTTTTTTTTTTATAGAAATATTTTAGACAACGTAATTACAAAAAAGTATACAAACAGAGAATACATTAAGAAACTTTCAATAAAAAAACTTATTTTGCAAACATTTAATAAAATAAACAAAAATAACAAAAAGTAATTTAATTTTTAAAATTAATTTAAAAAAAACAATAAAAAGCTATTTAAGTGAATAAATCATAGATGAATACCTGGATTGAGCGATGAGTGATTTTATCGGCGAAAGAGCTGAAGCCTGAGCGGCAGAAATCATGTAGCGGCATGTTAGTCGACTAGAAAAATGGCGGTGTTATTAACCTAATCTTGGCGCTTGCGTAATGAATAATATTCATATATTATAAATTTCGCGCTCGTTTAGTACGCGGGTTACTCGTAACCGCCATCTTGGACGGCTAGTTTTCCTCTTGCCCCATTGGCTTACCCCGCTGACTATTGCTCTGTCCATGGAATAAATAAATTGCAAGCCAGTAAAATACTAGAAATACATTTTTAGTAATTTACTAGTTTGTTAGCAATAATGCAAGTCCAGCAAGCTAAAGGTGCGGATTCATGCAGCGAGAAATCGCTTGCGACTTGGAAGAAGTGGAGGAAAAATGACTTTGGTAGTTTTCCACCAAGAGACACAAGCGACACAAAAGTATTATTCTCTCTGTTGCTCATTGAATATCGAACAAAGACAGAGTGATACTTGTGTCAATTTGTGTCAACTTGTGTTCTTTGCTGGAAAACATACTTTAGCGACAAGTATCCGTCGCTTTTCTCCCGCATCATATTCATGTGACGACAAATCGCTAGCGACTTCAATGTGTAAGATAGCGCCGAGATCGACCATAGCGGCGCTGGGCGGCGCTAGCTCGTGGCAGCCGAATTCGACTGTCAACTGACAGGAGCGAAAATCGATTCTGCGTGGGCACGCTCCCGCTCTGCGATTAAAGGAAACGGGGAGCTTTCTCGTTAATTCGAAAAAGTTCCAAAAAGTTTACCTCATCGATAACTTGCGAACCAAAAGGACTCTCTATCGTCGTTTCTCATCGAACAATCGCAAACCGCAATAGTAATAGAGAGACAGTCGAGTCGGAATCGTGTATTAATCAAACTTTGTTAAATAATTGTATTTTGTTATCTGGTTAAATTATAAGTTTTTTTATTATAAAGTCAGTGTGATTTTATTAAGATTCCATCCCGTCGTTTCAGCGAGTCGAGCAGTTAGTGTAATATTATTACACTAACAATAATATAAAAGGTCGTGACGATTCAACAGACAATGTCGTTCGAATAATTACCGTTGAAATATTTCTTTAAAAGACTTTTATTGAAAAATACATCATGTCGGAAATCCTTAGTCGAACATACAGTCGAATACCGCGTAAAAAACGAAAAGATCTTACAAATATCAGCATTTTTATAGGTTATTGTTTATAATAGAAATTGAAGAACTGTAAATGAAAATGAAGGTGACAATACGTTCGAACGAGGTGTATTCCGCTAAGTGTGCGAATATTTTGGGAACAGCAGTAGCAAGAGCAGTCAGAAAGCGACGGTTAGTGATAGCAACTGCTGTAATGTTGGAGTTGCAAAGAACGCAAAAGAAGCGAGGCTACAAAAAAAAGCAATACTGGGTAGCTCCATACTTAAAAGACTATAAGGACCACAGCTTCTTTCACGTATCCATCCCTAAACTGACATTCGAAGATGGCATACGTTACTATAACTATTTTCGAATGTCGGTAACACAGTTGGAAGAACTGTTGTTATTAGTTGGAGCACAATTGCAAAAAATAAATGTTCAAGAGTGCATAGGACCTAAAGAACGCTTGGCGTTAACATTAAGGTTTGTTACGTTTTATTATACATAATATGTAATAGTACAAAAATATGTCTAATATTTGCTTTTACGCTTCCAATGTTTCAGATATCTTGCATCTGGTGATTCAATGGTATCGATGTCATACCAATATCTCGTAGGAGTTAGCACAGCAAACAACATAATTCGAGAAACGTGCAAAGCGATCTGGGATATCTTACATCCGCTAGTTTTACCACCTGCATTAACTGAAAGAGAGTGGTTAGATATTGCGCAGGATTTCGAGGATGTAACAAATTTTACCCATTGCATTGGAGCCATCGATGGCAAACACGTGACCATACAAGTTTGTTTTTTTAGAAATATTTATCCATGAAGTGATAAGAATTAAGGGTGATGATATTCTTCATAAGAAATGAATACTCCTTTACCTGAAATACTTTAAAGATTTCATTCAATGTTGTTTCAGTGTCCCAACAATGCCGGCTCTACCTATTATAATTATAAACAATCGCACAGCATTGTTCTATTGGGTATTTGTGATGCAAATTACATTTTCCGATTTGTGGACATTGGGGTATGCGGCCGACGAAGTGATGGCAGAATTTTTGGAGATAGCGTCATAGGAAGAAATTTTGACTCTCAACGCATGAATGTGCCGAAGCCAGCAGCTGTTGAAGAAGGTGGACGAATTTTACCATTCTGTCTTGTGGGAGACGAGGCTTTCCCCTTAAAACCATATCTGCTTCGGCCTTACTCAAACAAGACTGGATTGACTCCGCAGCAGAACATTTATAACTATCGATTAAGTCGTGCAAAAAGAATGATCGAAAATACGTTTGGTATTTTAGCGAGTCAGTGGCAAGTGTATCGTAAACCGATTATTGCTTTGCCACGAACTGCTAAATTCATCGTGCAAGCAACAGTGTGTCTGCATAACTGGCTCCGAAAAAAAGATATCGGAAGAAATATGTATGTCCCCCTAAACATGATCGACGAAGAAAGCACAGATTTAAATAGTTTCCGACCAGGCACTTGGCGGACAATAATGGAGGATGGATGTGCATTTCATGATATCACTAATTGTGGAACCAACACAAGTACTCAAAACTGCAAGACAATTCGTGATGAATTTTGCGAATTCTTTTGTAATGAAGGATCAGTACCGTGGCAATTTAATAGGCATAATAAATAAGTGATTTACGTATTTGCATAACTTAGTAACATTGGCTTAGTTTACACCGATTGTTTAGTACGCGTACCAAATACTAAATCTGCTTCTCCAATAGGTATAAATCGTTTAGTATAAAATCTACACCAATCAAGAAAGCTGATTTAGTACTTGGTACGCGTATTAAACAATCGGTGTAAACTAAGCCATTATTTATTAAAATATATCATTATACTGTTTCAATTGTAGGGAGGCTTATAGTGAGATTTTTATGTTTAATACAGATTGATTTAAAAGATAAAAATTGGTGGCTTATTCATTTGTAGTACATATAAATTTTTTATTAGCAGCTATAACTATAATAAAATTAGGTATTTTAAGGTCTTATATTATATAATAATTGGGCATGGTTTATGTTCATCAGGTTTATTTTATATAGTTAATATTTATTATATAAAATCTAATAGACGAATTATTTTTTTAAATAAAGGATTATTAATAATATTGCCTGTTTATTCTGTTTGGTAATTTTTTTTATGTTCTGCTAATTTTTCTTTTCCTTTATCTTTAAATTTTATTAGTTAAGTATTACTAATTAGTTACAATTACAATTAATTACAATTATTTCATTATACTAAAATATATAAAATTATATTAAATTACATTAAAATATAAAATTGTTTATTAAAATATGCATATAAGGAAAAATTTATTTATTCTGGTCGTTCACTCTCGTCTCACGTAAAAGCTGTAATATTGCGAGCATTGCCGCCTCACTTGCATCCGCACTGAGAACTCGCAACTTAGAGGCGACAACCATTCCGAACCCAGTGAATTCATCATTGGGCAGGCCTCCGGTTACATTAACCGTTACAGGATCGTTCATCAGGTCGACCATTCTGTCCATAATGGCTCCAGGCTCGACCAACTTCTCACGTCTCAAGTCATTTTCTTAAACCAATTTGTTATTTTTCGATTTACAATATATGTAAAACTACATTAATTACATCAATATTTGTTAACATTTATTAATAATTGAAGTATTCTTACGTGATCTACGTTCACTATTTCTCGACGTACTGTCACTGCGGTCATCGTCATATGTTTCTGCGCTGTTTAGCGAAACGTCCTGACTATTAGACAAATCGACAATGTTCGATGTTGTCCTACAAGAGAAAGATGTTAAAATTACATTTTAACCTCTGTACGAACTATATTTTTATAAAACGTATGAGTATGCATTTATACATACTCGTTATCAAGTTCCATGTTCTGCAGAAAACTAAGCCTTTTGAAGTGGAGCCATTTAACTTTCTTGGCAGCCGCAGAACCACTTGACTGTTTGTGAGCTTTGCGATGTCTCCTGAACATATCGGTTAATGACTTCCATTTTTTTTTTATCTCTGCTGCAGTCATCTCTCCTAAGGACAAAGAATGTGATGAATACATTAGTAACAGACATGCCTCCCATGCCTCAATTAAAAAATGTACCTTTCATGCTCTCAGCAATCTCTTCCCACAGTATCTGCTTAGTACGAGCGCCCCTTTCGGAAATGTGCAATTTAAAATTCCAAAGAGGTGGTCGTTTCCGTACTTCCTCTATGAGAAATTCCTCATTGTGCACTTTCCTCGCTAGCAGATTCGTCGGACGATCACTGCTGTTCAAACTGTCACCTTTGATGTTTTTTATATGTATTAACTCGACTTCTTCTTGATCTGCTTCTTCTTGATCTGCTTCATCTTGATCTGCTTCTTCTTGATCTGCTTCATCTTGATCTGCTTCTTTGACGAAGACCTCTTGTTCTCCAACAAGACGTTTTGTAATGATCAATCCATCATCTGCAAAAATATGAAGATATGAACATGCTATCTAGCATTTAGCATCTGCAGTAATTTCATTATTCACACTATACTTACCACGATGCGGATAGAAATAAAAATTTTTGTCTATGAAGAATTTCGTGTATCCTTTCAAGCAGGGATGATTGCGTATCTCATTCGGGCGACAAATTGTTTCGCATAAACTGCAAGTATATACGAACACAATTTCAGTTGACTGAAAATCAAAATCATAATGTCCTCAAATTATAGGTTAGATATACTTTAATTATAGGTTAAACGTTCAAATGTTAATACGCGGTTGTAAACACATGCAAATATAATAATAATAAATTTATTAATATTTTTGATGTTACACTAACCTCACTCTCGCGATTGACGAAATTCATATTGCTTCCTTTGAAACACTTTGAAATTTTTTGCAATGTGTCGATGTGTCGACTTGTCGCTGCTGTTCGGACAGGATGAACTTCCAACAATTTGTCACCAGCGATTTGTCACCAGCTATTTCTCGCTGCATGAATTTGCACCTTAAGACGAAACGTGTGTCGCTGGCTTTAGTTGCAATTATGCAAGTTATATGAATATACTCTTAGGAATTTCGATCTCTCGTTGGTATCGATACGCCATTCGAGGCGGTTTTCGCATTTGAAAAAGATTTCATACTTCAAAGCAACTACAGCCGTCATTGAGAGGAAATATGTATGTGTTTGATGATATGTTTAAATCAACATTTAGAAGAATTGTGTTGTTCGTCGGCCTCGTCGCAGTAATTTGTGCGACGAAGGTGTCCACGGCGCACAGATTGAACGTGCCCCGAGTACTGTTACCTGTATTCAACAACTTTGCGGTAAATTTTACGCTAGAAGTAACGGACAGCGGCTGCTACAAATGGTAATTATTTTTTATTTATCACATAAAAGTGCGACGTTATAATGTGCTATCTTTGAATTCTAGTTATATCAAATTATATAACATTTTTACTGCTTTGTAGCGTAAAATTTTATTTCACATAGCACGTTGCCGGTATAACTAACCTCAATTTAACAGTAGATGCCTAGATGCCTTAAATAGTTGCACTTAAATATCTTCAAAATTAATTATAGTAACATTCAAATTGTATTTGAATATAATAAATTGTGTGTTGTAGGATAATTAGCTTGAATATTTAATTAACATTTTTTTTCTCCATATTTTTAGGTCAACCTCGCGTTTGGATATCATACAACTAATTCCCATAAATGAAAACTTTGACAGAACATGTTCATCAGCATTATTAATCCAAACCATAACAAGAGAGCTGACAAGGAACACAGCAATTGTATTAGCAGAAGATATCAACACAGGTCATTTTCTACGATGCGATGTCATAGTAGATGCAATTTTCTCTTTAAATCTCACAACTACTACGAGAGAATTGTACATTGAAGATATACCAGAAGCGTTTGAGGTGAGAGCGTATGACGAACAAGGAAACCAGTTTACTACTTTAGCAGGTATAGAATTTCTATGGACTATTGGTGATGCCGATAAGCGTGCGCCATCTGATATTAAATCCACAAGTAACGTATTACGCTTTATGACTTATGAGGAATCACAGTATGAAAGACCTGTTAGTGTGGCTGCATTGGACAGCATTGGTAAAAGAGGCCACATTGTTCTCATAGAAGGTGTTAGAACCGGTACAGCCAAGGTGTCCGTCAGATTGCCACATTCAGAATATAAACATGTACCATCGATAGAACTCGAGTTAATCGTTATTGCTAATTTAATAATTATTCCGCCGGAAATAACGATAATGGCTTATGACAGCTTCAAGTACAAAATAATGCACACTCGGCAAGGACGCTTAGAAGAGATCAGCCTGCCCTCGAGTCAGTATTATCTGGAGGCCGAGAATTCTGATATATTGGAGATTGACAACGATCATGATTTCGCGTATGGTCGTAAAACAGGACGTACCAAGGTCTTTCTACACGATAAAAATGTCCGCGAGGAATACCCAGTTATTCTGCCTTCTGCCATAGTCAATATACATGAAGTAGCTTACATCTCGCTTTCTGTTTTGCCGAACAGAAATTGGGGGTTGATATTAGATCACAGTCATGAGATCATTGTGGAATTATACGACAGTAAAGATCACAAATTTCATGTCGGAGAAGGCGTGGAAGTTTCTATGAAGATAGACGAGCAATACTTAGAACCAAAATTGATTACGCAGAACGGCACTTACGCTGTCGTAGTGCCAATTACTTGTGGGATGACGATCGTGGAGGCAACATTGCGCGGTATAATCGATAAACGCGGCAAGAAGATACCATTTGTGCCGCAACTCTCTACTAAAGCTGAACTCACGGTACACACGCCGGTAAAAGTTCAACCTCGTGTTTTGACTATTCCTTGGGACGTTGTGAACAAATCCAAGTAAGCTAATTTCGAATGCATGAAATATTTTGTATCAGAGGTTTATTTTTTATTAATAAATTCTCAAATATATAACAAAAAATAGCAATAAATGTACAATAAAATAACAAATAGAGTCTGAAAATTGTAAAAATTAGTGAAGAAAATTCGCTTTACATTTTTTTGTTCTTTGTTTCTTTTTTAGATTTGATATTATGTTGAAAGCAAATGGTGGAGATGGCTCCTATGTTTGGTCCAATAGACAACCGTCAACAGTGGCTGTCTCACAGACCGGTGGCATTAGAATTTTATCAGCAGGCATAGCAGAAGTGGTCGTCGCGATGGCGAGAAATCAGTACAACAAAGACACAGCGAAGATATACGTATTGTCACCTTCGAGGCTGAAGATTATAGAATACAACATGGAAGCGGCTCTAGGGGAACCGATTCACCTACACGTCGCATTATTCGGGAGGCTGATCAATGGATCCGATGTCAAAGAGATACCCTTTAGTGACTGCAAGGACATTGATTTCGCGGTGCATATTTCGGACAAGAATTTCGTCCAGAGTTACGATAAAAATGTGCAACCGGTTGGCGCGGCGTGTGCTGTACTAACTATTACCAATTATCGCTCCGTCGGGACGTTTGACGTGATCGTGGCCTACAGCGTGAACGACAATAACGCGATCGATGAATATCTATCGGATAACGTCACCGTGTCTGCACACGAACCGCTCACGGCGATACATCCGGAGAGCAAAGAGACGTTACTCGTCGTGGGATCCTCTAGGAACGTGATATTCAAAGGCGGACCGCTGCCGTGGACGAACAAATCTCAGGATTACTCGCGAGAGGTGCGCCTGTCGAACGAGCAGATCGCCGAGGTGGTGGAGTATGAAGATTCGATGAACAGACAATTCGACAGAGCCGTCTTCAAGGTGATATGCAAGGCGCTAGGCGCAACAGCGCTGACGTACACGGTATCGAACGTGCCTCTGTTTCCCAACTGCCGGCGCAGCTACGCGTCGGAAACGGTCGACATCGTTTGCGGCAAACCCAGGTACATCTATTTGCAACCGGAGTTTAAGGACGGCAAAAATTGCCCGATCAGTCAGAATACGAACAAGGTAATCGCGCACAGCGACAAACGTCTGAAGATCTCCGTAATCGTCAAGGACGAGGACGGCAGGCGATTCGACAATATCACAAGCTTGAATATCGAGTGGAATCTGAAGCCGTCGGGCAGCGGCATCGTGGAGATCCCGTCCAGCACGATAGAGGAGACGGAGACGGATATGAATATAATTCTACCGAAGAGCCACTATCAGAACATCATTTTTAAGAAGCACCATGGCACTCTCATGATATACACGACTGTCACCGGTTACCAGAAGCAGGTTCTCAACCGACTGAAGATCGTGCCGGAGTGGCCTCCGTTTCCCATCGAGAATGAGAGAGGCGGAGTGGAGACCCCGCTGATAGAAGCCTCTATCGAAACAACTCTAGTGAACGACACCGTCGTCAACCCCGACAATCTGATGATTTTGAACGACTCGAATATGAAGTCATATTTGCAAGTTAGCCAAGGCTCCGGTTACTACGAATTCATTCTTAGTTCGGACGTGATAGCGGATGTCCGTTACATGGATACGACGAGGATGATCAGCGTGACGCCGAGGAAGCCGGGCGTGCTTCACATAACATTAGTGGATCTCTGTTTACCCTCGAAGTCGGCAGAAGTTCGCGTTGAGGTGCAGCAACTCGCGGCGATCGAGGTGGACACCGTGAACAAGATCGAGAAGGGCAAGTGCGTAACGGCCCTGCTGAGGCTGTGCGACACGAATGGTCACATCGTGAAGCTGCCGTCTCTCGGCGCAGTGGACTTCCGCGCCGAGATCGACAATGAGTACGTCGAGATCAAGCAGCTGCCCGCCGACGAACAGGGCGCCGCGCCTTACGAGCGCACGCTGTACAAGATTTACGGCGTGTCGGAGGGCGAGAGTCAGCTGACCTTCACGAAGAAAGGCGACCACGAGATACGCAGCGAGCCGATCACCGTGCAGGTGTTCGTGCCGTTGCGAGTGCAGCCGAGAAACCTGACGATCCTGATCGGCACCATTTATCAGATGCAGACGATCGGTGGTCCGCCGAACGCCGAGATCGAGTTCGCGACGGAGAGCGGCGATGTCCTGCGCGTCGATCGCAACGGGATCCTCGAGGGAAAGTCCGCGGGCCGAACGAAAATACGCGTACGCGCCGTTGGGCTGGACGCCAAGGGCAACAAGGTGATCTACTCGGAGGATCGCGCCGACATACACGTTCTGCATCTCGAGGGGGTGAAGATCTTGACTCCGGTGAACAGAGTGAAGATGGGCGCCACGTTTCCCCTCTGGGCGTTTGGTGTTCCCGATTATCTCACGCCGCTCATCATCGGCTCGATGCAGCTGCCGCTGAGCTTCGCGTGGTCGTCGAGCGATCCCGGTTTGCTGACTTTGCACAACATGTACGAGGGCACCGGCATCAATATCAGATACCAGAACCAAGTGTCGCTGAGAGCGAGGGCCGTGAGCCCGGGCGTGGCGACGATCTATCTGAATGTCACCGTGCCCTGCAACATGCTGTCCGGTTTCAGCAAGAACGACATCACGTACACGACGTTCGTGAAGATCGAGATCTTCGAGGAGCTAAGCCTGATCAATCCGGTGACGTCGGGCGAATCGGTAGTGCCGATACTAATGTCGCCGAATTCTATCTTGCAGCTGCAAACGAACCGGGACAAGCACGGCGCGACGACTTACAAGGTTCTCTCCAGCACGCACGGTAACGAGCCCGAGGATGCGCACGCCTTAACGCCTGCCGCGAAGACCGTGACCGTGGATAAGAGCGGCATCGTGAGATCCGGCGAAAATATCGGTCAGACTGTTATTTCCGTTGTGAATACCGAAGCGTACAGCTTGAAGCAATCGTTGACGGTCGTCGTCGAGGTTAAACCTATTCACTATATGATGCTCTCCTTGAAATCCAGACTGCGCATACGGAGCGGCGAGGAGCTGAACATGTTACCGAAGGGAATGGAATTGGATTACGTCGTGGATTACTATGACAACGTCGGGAATAAGTTTCACGCCGCCGAGACCAATGTGAAGGCTATGCTTAACCGCGCCGATTTAGCGTCGTTCACCACAAACTCGGATAATATCATCACCGCTAAGTTCCTGGAGAACGGCGAGCTCGTTGTGAAAGCTTTCAACGAGAGGTATCCCAACACAATGTTTGATTACGTTTACATGATGATCGGCGACATCGTGTTTCCGACGAAAACAACTTTAACCGTCGGCGACGTTATATGCTTCTCCATGCCGCTCCTTTCATCCGACGGAGACCCGGGATACTGGCAGTCTTCCGCACCTGAGATATTATCGGTAGATCCCATCACGGGCATAGGACGCGCGAGAAACGTCGGGAATGCCGTTATAAAGCACAGCCTCGCGACACATGTGCAGAGTGAAATAGAAGTCAACATTCTACCGATTTCACGGGTAATTATTTTTTTTAACAATTATTTTTTTAGCGCAAGCACACGTATAATAATGTGGTGCATCATTGTATTTTCACACAGGTGTCTATCGTTCCTCTGAGAGGAAAGAATATCACTGGCACGGAAACGTTCAGCGTACCGCTTGTACTGAAGAGCAAAGAGGAAGAGATCAAGGAGAATAACGTATTAGCGAGAGGTTTGGGAGGCTGTCGAACGTTGTCATCGTTCGCGCTCAACGCATTTCCCTATACGTGTAACATCCAGTTCGTCTCGTCGGCTTCGTTGATCGCCGTGAAGGATCTGTTCCTTGTGAAGCCGCGATTCGACATCGTTACAGGTCAGATGCAGTTTCACGCGTACAATGAAAGTCGTTCGTTTTGCAATAATTATTTTTCTCATTATTTCATAGGCTTCTATTACTGCGATATCACGCCGATGAGTCCGTCGAATGTAGTCGCCAGTACGATAGAAAGCCACATCCAAATCAGTGCCCAGAGTCGAGACATCGAATCGGCAGCTTTGGAACTGACCTTTTTGCCGCCTATGTACATCGACACCAAGGAAATTATATTCGTCGCCACTCAGGGCACCGTGCCGTCAGTAACGTTTGAAGTGTACGGAGTACCATCGGTATTGCAGCATCTCACCGTAAGTCATTTATTTAAGAATCTTGTAAAGCTACATTTATCCTTAAAAAAGAAATTGTAGTTTTATGCATAGAGTGATCAGAATTAATTACAAATCTTATGATTTTATCACTTTTGTTAATTAGGATTGTGACAAATTGCATCTATAAATTCGCATGTATCTGTCTAGAATTTCTGTATCAAATTAAAAAATTCCGTGTGGGAAAACATATATAAATTTTATGTCAAAAATTTATTTTGTGAGGCTTAATATTCATTTATTGATACTTTTTCGAAATAACACTGTCATCTTTTTATCAGATCAATGTACCGGATGGTGTAGCTATTACATGGCAACAATACCTTTCCAAGCCTATAATGCAATGCAGACTGCGTTTAATACATAATCAGGACGAGATTCAAGGACAAAAAATTTATATTGCAAATGACTTAACAAAGCAAAATATATCTGTAAGTAAACTATATACATATGTGCATTTATTAAAATGATGATGGCAATGGATATAAAATTTAGTACAAGAAATATTATTATTGTACGTTTCCTTTCAGCTTCACATACGTATATCGAGAAACATTCATTTCATCCCTGTATCCGGAGTTCAATGGGTGAATTATGTATATTTTCACCGATACATTCTCGGAATATTCGCCGTTATCGTGATTACAATTTTTTATTGTAAGACTGAATTTACATTTCCACAATTTATACTATTTTAGATTAACTAAAAAAATATTAATATTATTAAAATAATTTCTTTTTAGTATGGAAATATAAGGTAGTGAATGTCTTTTTGACAGTTAAGAACAGAGACGTTTTTGGTACGTATTAATTTTTTTCATTGTTCTATGTTCTTGCCACATGGCATTTCTGACAATGACGATATTTTTTTTACAGCTGATAAATCTCCGCTGATGATGAGGAGAGCAATATGTACGCCGAACACCTCTAGAACTAGCAGCAGTCCGCGAACTCCGCTCACATCGCCATTACGCCCATTTTCGGCGTTTGAAACACCTATTTACGGCGATCCGCGTTGTTTCGGCACGCCCTACCTTAGAAGGAGAGAACTTGAGAGACGAGAATAAATCTCTGCATTGTTGAGAATGATTCGTTAAAAACTATTGGCTTCAATCTTAATTTAAGAAATATTTAAGTCTCGATTAAGATATTTAATTTTTTAAGAACGAGTTTTCTAAGATATTTAATTTTCTAGGAACGCGCGTAAACTGATACGACTGGTACTTCCATTAGGTCTTCACTCATATTAAAGTGCATAATCGTAAAATGGTGCCTAAAAGTCAAAACTGCCACTGGCTTTTTTTCTGTATTGAAAATTACAGAAATTTTCACTTCTCAAGAAAAAGAGACTGGGTTTTTCGTAACAAAACTTGTTTGTACTTTATCTTAACGCATTGCATAATATCTATACATATATAATTATAACGTTATATATATATAAAATAACGTTATAATACATATATAGTTATACGATATGATTTAGTGATTGTATATACGTGTAAAGTAAACGTGTAAAGTGTTACAGTTGCCATCTTAAATATTGCTGTGGCACATTTTTGTATTATGTTCATTTTAATAATGACGTGACAATTTTCTACGATCCTAGTCGTAATATTTTTCATTTCATTTGAATAAGATAGCAGCAAATTTGTAGTTAAATACACACGTTAGATGTATCACGTTACATCATATGTTATCATGAACAATGTTACCTTTTTATATTTTGTCAAACTGTGATATGTGCATAGTTATAGGATATATATAGCTGTAACATAATAATAGTGATAGAATATATCCTAAGTTGAATAAGAAAAAGAAAACGTAGTGTAATTTTCATAAATAGTAACGTTTATTACAAAAGTATATGTATGTAGTTGAACAGTCGTGTTTCTCTTACAATGACATAGGAAAATTTGTAAAGTGATCTAGAAAGTTTTGAAAAAAGGCTTAAAATATATGATCAGTGTTTTTTTGTGTTTTTCAGCAATTTTTCATATTTGCGTTTACTCGAGTACCACAGAGCAAATGGAATGAGCAGGGAGGGTAGAGTCATGACAGCAAAGGCAACCCAATCGACCTGCGAGATATAATACGCTATATTATCAGAGTGATGAAAAATATTGTAAGATACACAGGTAGATAAATTTATTTAACTTTGGAATATAGATAACTCTTGGATATATAGATATAAGAATATAATAACAATAGAGAATAATTGTCCTTGTTGTAAAAAAAATATAAGAATATATGCAAAAAAGTAATGCAGTACATAGCAAAATAAAATAATTTGTAATCTTATTCAGAAAAGAAATGAGACAAAATGACAAATTTCATGTTAAACAAATTCTTTAACGAAATAAACTAGGGGAAAAAAAATAAAGATACTATATATAACATCTTGTAATTATCTATTTTTGCACTATATTATTTATATTAATAATTAAATATTTTTAAGATTATTTTGAAACCCCTTTCAGCAATACCTTGTAATTTGTTATACATAATATCTTATAAACATGGGTATGTTGTGTCTTTACTTACCACATGAGATGAAAACTGCTTATCATAATCCCTGTACGCCACAATGAGTCCTTCACCAGGCTCACTGCTTACAGCTACTTGTAATCTGGGAGCATCCTCTTTGCGACGGTACAAAACTTCAGCCGAGGAAAAATTGAAATAGCCAAATTTGCGCGGCCTAACAACCACCGTGTGGCTTACATTAGTGTAAGGAGGTACACGGTCAATCCGGGCGTTCAGTTCACCGCTCATGTGAGTAAAATGATCCGGATGGAATGAGTTATCAGTAATCTCAACTTCCAATGCGGCAACATTGCCAGTATTATAAATAGTATACTGTAAATTTCAAGTTATAATTTTAGTGATATCTTAATATAATAACTGAAATATCCATCAAACACACATGATAGATTAATATTTTAATAATATAGAAGAATTTATCGGAATTCTACGGAAAGAATATCATGAGATGTTTGATAGATATTCAAAAATATGGAACATAGATAATCTCTTTCTCGTTACCTTAATAACTATATCCATATTTTCTACTAGGTATTTGTTGAGTATCTGTTTGGAAACTAACAGCCTAGCAGCTTCTTCCTCTTCTTCCGCACATACGGTCATACATAATGCAGCTAACGCTGCGATCCAAATGTGCCACTTCATTCTGTAAAATTAAAAAGTTTTATTAATTATTTCATAACCAATTTTTGCTGTGAAACATCATTGACATGTATAAAGTCACTGACGTTCATCAATGAATTTGTAGATCACAATTTTATGTCAATCTTATGTCAATTTTCATCTATTTTGAAAAAGCCACCAAGTGGTTTGGCTAGTTTTCACTTCTGTATGAAAATATGCGATTTGACGAATTTCTGTAATTAATATACTTTAGAAATTGCAGAATTATCATATCGTCTAGATATCCAATTACAATTATCATATTTGAAGGAAAAACTTCAAAATTTTCAGTTATATCAACAAGTTACTCGACCTGTTTTTACTTTATGTAAAAAAATACTCGCGTTTATCTCGAATGTGAGGGCTCAGGAATAAAACGTTCGCGAAACTCACTTTGTGTCGAAAGTGTTGGACGACGGTAATTATTGTCCTCGCTTGCTTAGCACACAAAACCTCTCGTATTACTCGATCGATCCATACGGCGAGATAGCCGGGGAATACTCGTCACACTCATGAGAAGTGCCAACAGCGCTCTGTTCGCTGCCACGTTTCCGACATGGGTGATGTCGCGTACACATCGATACTTCCGGTAAATGCGCTGTTAGCACCAAGATGGCAGTGGCGACGCTGCTATTGACGATCAGCTGATCGTCGTGACAGTTGTTTGATTTATGCGAGAAGAAAACTGAATAATTTTGTCGTTTTTATGCTATTTAACATCTTTTTGAAAAAAAAATTAAAAAGAAGAAGCGATATACAAAAATAAAAAAGTGCGTTCCGGAAAGATGGATATTCATCATAACAGAAAAATATTGTAATGGTGAATAGTAACTGATGCTATTACATTAACATGCTTTGTTACGTATAGAAAGCAATTTTTTCATGTTAAGATGTCAAATTAATATTCTGCAATACTCAAGAGTGTAAAAGTGCGGTTTTGTTTATACAAGTAAAAATAATGGCTGCGAAGGTTTATCAATCTGATCAAGAGCTGGAAACAAGAGTTAAGAAAGGTTAGTATCTGAACAAAATCTGTTTTCAACAGACTTTGTTGTTTGTTATTATCAAAAAGAATTATAAATAATATATTAATTTATATGATTGATTAATGTGGCAAATATTATATTGCAGCGACTGAACGTATATCGGAAAACATGCATATTGTTGCAAATGAGCCATCGCTTGCTTTCTACAGACTGCAGGAGCATGTGAGGAAAGCATTGCCGCCAATGGTGGAGAAACGTGTAGAAGTGTTGGCGCTGCAGCAACAATTGTTGGGAAGATGCTACGATGTAGAGTATGCAGTCAGCGCTATCAAAACTATGCAAGGAGCTGAGAAGAGCTTTGAAAACACTTTGGAATTCATCAAGAATGCCATATTTTTCAAGCAGCAATTGAAGTATGAAGAGCAAAGACGTCACAAGAAAGATGGCAACAAAGATTCTGTCTACAAAAGATTATCTGCGCACATCCCCACGTTGGATCATTTGCCTGATGAGATATCCGATGTCGTGCGAGAAACGGCAAATCGCGTGGAGTCGATGATGAATCATGCCAGACATTCGAGCGACGTGCAGAAGTCGGCTACATAATTAGAGGAATACTGTAATATTTCCTTTTCTGTGATATATATGACCGTTGAGTAACAAGTTTTGTACATAAATAGTAATAATGATAATGGTATAATGATGCAATGCTGTTCATAATATAATACATTGTAATATAAATATTAATATCCGATTTTATTTTATCATCACAAGTATAATGATTAATTTCCAGCTATAATTATATTCTATTTTTATGTTTATTTTATGCATATATTAGACATATCTATAAAGATTGATTATAGCATTGACTTTTGATTTTTTATCATATATATGATCATTAATTGCTAAGTTTTTGATATAAAAAGCAAAAAGAATATTTTAAAAAAATTATGTTTTAATGAATAACTCATATAATTGTATTTCAAATAGAATATTTTATCGTGTAAATATTTTAACAATTTTATGATATATATTCTTTTTTATTATCTAATATACTACAATTTTATTATCTAATATATTACATTGTTTAAATACTTTATTCTGCTTTTAGAACAGATAGGCTACTTTTCAGTCAATTTCCAATGTTAATGAATTTTTTAAATAATAATAAAAGCATAATTTTATGTAATATGTTAGATTAGAGCAAATTTTCATTAACTTATGTTCTACAGAAAATGTATTATGATGACAACCACAAGCAGAACAATAGAAATATAACCTTTAGAGCGATTTAAATAATTCCATCGTCGGTCACTATAATACTTTGCCTAAAATATATTATATCTTCATTATTATAAGAAAGATTAACGATCAATACATGATGCATACGTGTTCGCGAAAACGTCGTATAGATGTCGTAAAGGGTTGCCTGACATGTCTCGTTTTCTGCATTATGCAGCAGTATGCAACAGTGCAATCAAGTGCAATCGGTGCCGGGAAGATGAAAGTTAATTAAGAGGGAGTAAATATACGAAAAGGATGGCAGGAACACGCGGCGAACGATGAATTCTTGACAATATCACCAACGTTTGCGACCTATTGCATGGTAAGTCAATCACCATTTGTCATTTTCGCTTGTAGGTTATGTGCTTGCTAAATCTATAATTATTCGGTCAAAAGATTGAAGAATATTTATCATACATCGCTTTATACGGCATAATTTGTGCCTAAATCACTAACACTGAAAACATTTATTATCATGGTTCAAGATTTCTCAAAATCAAATTTTTTGATACTTTGATATTTTTAGGAATATTCATCCTCTCTCTCCTCCATTCCTCTCTGACAAAATTTTATACTTGTCATTTGTTGGGATAGTGCGAGATTTTATAACAAGTATTTTTGTTAATGATTTTTATACTACGTCTTATAATTAGATATTGTTCATCTTGTGAAATTTTTTTGTGCTTTGTGCGTGGATATTTCAGTTTTGGAATCACTTTTATTACTGAATATTCTTGCACACATATAATTCATGTATGCAACGGATCATTCTAATCTTGTAACATTTGTTTAAGTGACGTAATAATTTATTTTCTGTCTTATCTTTATATATTACAAGATTCAGTTCATGAAAAAATAATGCACAGGAAAATGCGCTGAAAAAAGCCATTATGACAAAAATATGTAAGCTTTGTGAAGTTTTTGATTCAATTAAGCGATAATAATATCTACATTTTTTAAAAATATATTGCAAATATTTAATAATTAATGAAACAGAAATAGTATACCAAGATATATAATATATCAAACAAGTTATAGATTTTTAGGTTTTCTAGAGTTTCTTTTAACTTGTCATAATTTTAATTGCTAAAAAATATAATAGTTTTATTAACAATGAAAATAATTGTTGTGTTAATCAAAATAAAATTTACTTTTGATTAGAGTTTACTTTCCTTGAACAAAGTTATTATTCTATTTGTGTTATTACCGTAGAAAAGATTTCAATGGTGATACATTTGAATTAGTACATGTGTTTTGCTGTTTAGCGCAATTTAATGAAGTGATAACGACTAATTTTAGAGATGAGCGAATTCACTTGTAAACTAACAATAGAAATAGAAATTTTCGTTTATTGTATAAGAATGAACCGCGTCTATTATTACGCGGTTCACCGGCTCGATTATGCCACGTAGCGTATATATGCATACATTTGCGTATTCTTCATGCATAACTTCGATATACGTCATTAGTTCGTGTTCTCTAGAAAGTGTGACAGGAAGTATTAGATCAGACGAACAAACTTTCGTCATATACGCAAATTAAAAAAAATATTGGACTTAATAAACAGATAGATATTGATTTAAAGATAAGATAATGCAAATATGACATCCTGCCACCGCCAGATTTCATCATCCTTCATCATCAATTATTATTTTAATTATATTAATTCCCGCAAGGATGATTAAACCGCACAGTCATTTGGGTTACAAGAAAGATTCGGCAATCCAAATTTAAAAAAAAATATGAAATGCAGAAATATAATACATATGAACCTAATCAAAACACTATTTTTTGTTTTGGTTAAAAAACGGTTCTAAAGATAGAAACACCCTTCAAAGAAAATCCGATTTTTCGTATTTTTGCCAATATCTTTGAAACCATAAGAAATATTGAAAAAATGTTAAATACAAAATATTATGGTTTTAATGGTCTTTAACATTATAATAAAAAATTAAAATTTATTTATTAGAATTCATGAATTTATGATGAATTACATGTGTTGCATATTTGCATCGGAAGTCTGATTTATAATATCAAGTTCTGCAAGTTGTGCTTATACTAAGTTGTGCAAGAAAAGAACATTAATGATAAAAACAACTATGTAATTGAAACCGCCTTGTTCTACTAAAAAAATTTACATATGAAATGATTTTCCTAGCGCGTAATTTATTCTTATTTTTTCAAGTGCTTCTGTTAGATAGCTTGCTTAGTTCGATATTAAATTTTATGTTATAAATCACATCAGACTTTACACTTGAAGCATTTTTCTTGTTTAAATATACACACAATTTTTTATGCTTTGACGCAAAATGTGCAAAATATGTGATGTGATTCATCATGAATTCGTAAATGAATAAATTTTAATTTTTTATTATAATGTTAAAGAAAATCATAATATCACTAAAAACCATAAATTTTGTATTTAATATTTTTTCAATATCTCTTATGGTTTCAAAGATATTAGCACAAATAGGAAAAATTAGATTTTATTCATTTTTTTAGCCAAAACAAAAAATAGCTTTTTGATTAGGTTCATGTATTATATTTCTGCAAAGTTCCAGATTTTTTAGAAAATTTAGGATTATACATACACACATACACACATACATAAAACTCAACCGGAGACTGATTGTATGTAGACGAGCTTCGGATAAATCATGAATCATATGCCATTATTGTCAATATTAGATCAACCGAATTAGAGTTCGACCCGAGTCTTCGTTTGCGTACTCAGCCTGGGATTTCCGCGTAATTTCTTCCGTTAATCCATCTGCATTGAATATGCCGTGCACGTCTCGCCGGGAGAAACCGCGCTGCGTTTGTAAGAACGCAATGCGTTAACGTCATACGGGCTTGTGCTCCACGCATGCGGCAAGCGTGCGTGGAGCTGATTTTAAATTGCAACAAAGCTATCTGAATTTTCCGTCTTAGGCATTGTGCCGGCTGAATTCGCCAAAGTAATATATACAGCACTGACATATACTGACGTAAGTTGCATGGATTTAGATAAAAATCCTTCATTGCTATTTTATGCTTTTTGACATTTGCTACGCAAATAATAAATACACTATTATAAATGAAATATTACAAATCACGCGTATAATAAATAATTACAATAAGTCAAGGATTATTATATTGTATAACTAAAATGAACAGTGAAATTAAATATTATATAACTAAAATAAACAGTGAAATTAAATATCAAATGCTAATCGCAGATTAACTTATTTCTCCGATGTTTTTTTTATTCAGTCTTTTATTCTCTAATCTCTGATCTTTGACGTTTTGTATTTTTCTAGACATAAATAGTCATACGTCTATAGATACAAATAAGGTAGAAAAATTTTGCATTTTACATTATTTTATTAGTTTTAAATAGTTTTCAAATGTATGATTTATATTATAATATTATCATAATAAGATTTATTAACTGAACATTTAATAATGAATTTAATGGATTTAATAATGAATTAAAATTTATAAATAAATCCACTAATATTCAATACAAAATATACGGCACATAAGTATTCCGATAACAATCTTATACCCATTTCTACTAGTTCTAAGAGTTAGGAAAAGATGAAGAGTAAGTTGAACCGAGATTAAAGTTAATTGTACGTTGGTGGAACCGGGCATTAATATGTGCTTTAAAAAGTATGAAACAATAATGTGTGCCACATTTGTGATACTTTGATTATAGTGTACTTTTAATCAATTTTAATACCTTCTGGAGCTAAATGTAAAGAAATATATAAATGGAAATGTAAAATATGATTGTAAAGATTGTAAAAATAATAGTAGAGTAATGTATAGATTTATATATAAGGTATGGATGAATGAGTATGGATAAGTTTTAAGTGTAAACCAAGTCCCTTCTTGGCAATAGCTGAAATAATAAAGATATATATATATATATAATACTTTCTAGAACTCACCAATATATACCTGCATCAATTAATGTTATTATAAGAAAAATTCTTGCAATTTACGTCAGTAAATGAATATACAGTATGAATAATATTTGACTTCTAAATATATTTATATAAGAGTCATTTGTCGTCATTTGCAAATGACGTAAAGAACAAAATCTAAACGTCATTTTGCAAATGACGTAAAGAACAAAATCTAAACGTCATTTTGCAAATGACGTAAAGAACATGTTAGAACTTCCGCTATCTGCTCGACATATTACGCAGAAAAGTAAATTCTTTAAGTGTTATAATTGCAATGCATTATAATGTATTGATATGTATTTATATACATATCAATATGTATTTATAGTCTTGAAGTAAATTAAATTTTTTTTTGTAGTTCCTACGTTATCACGGTTTTTTTTTTATTTCAGCAGCATGTTTTTACCGCGTTTACGTATACGGATTATGAAACTACTCTGGTAGAAATTTGTGCAGTTTGACTGAACACCCGGCCAGTTACTATCTAATATTACTGGTTTTTCTTTATATACTGCATCGCAACTAGGCTTAATTAGTTAAAGCAATCTTATTATACAATATATATTGCATAATATATATTGTACAATATATATTGTATAATAAAATTACTCTAACTAATTTTGCCAATATTATATTATACATATGTATTGTATTATACAATATATATTGTATAATAAAATTACTCTAACTAATTTTGCCAATATTATATTATACAATATGTATTGTATTATACAATATATATTGTATAATACAATTACTTTAACTAATTTTGCCAAAAATATATTTTAACGAAATATATCATTAATATTAAAAGGCTTTTGATCAGTTTTTGATCAGTTTAGTTATTCTCATATATACATTTTGTAAGTAATAATAATACATTACAAGTAATAATACATTGTGTGCTGGTATATAAAACTTTTTCTGTTATGTGTAAAATAATCAAGTGTAAAATTAATAAAAATGTGTGAACGCGTGCAAAAATATAGGGCAAAGAAAAAAAAATTTATTTATAGAATTAAAACAGCTTAAAATACATAATTCACATAATTCTGTCATAAAAATTTCAAGAGAGGTTAAAAGTGACAATTTGTCAATTATCTATTTATTGCTAAGTAACTGAGTTCAGATTTTGTACATTTTTTCTACGTAGTAACTGCGCGAAAAGCGTTACGTCTTGATTGGGATCCTAAGTAGTTTTACTGTTCAATTACTAGGAAGAAGCCAATATAACTACCCACAATCAATCAAAAACTGCATTAAATTTCTACCAGGGTAATATTGTCACAATTAAGTAGTACATCATTTTTTAAATTATTTTTTCTTTATAGTTCCAGTTGTAATTTATGTCCATAAAACATTTGCGATA